GGTTTCCCCTTACCATGCTAAACCAGCCTTGATCAGCATTGATTGCCATGGTTTTCAAGACCTAGAGATTATCACCCTTATACACCAAAGTGTAAAAATACCTTGTAGCGTTCTAAAGGCCCATGTTCACTGCAGTTACAACACCACTCTCAGTAGCTTTGATGGAATATGGAGCTCCCTTAAGCAGCCATTCTATTCATTGAAATACCAGGAAAGTGGTGTATAAATGGTCATCAAAGGTCAAGAAGACCTTGACATTAATGCTGATCATAAATCTGGCCAATGACAGATTTACAATGGACATTTTTGATGGAAAAAAGGAAGGAAATAAAAGACTTGAGACATGTACATTCAATTTTTCTTTCACAGGTTCAAGTTACCGAAGTAGATCCACTGGAAGGGTCATCCCAAAGTCTAGAAGAATCAAACCAAACTTCACGAGGTAGGAAAATTCTGAAGGTTTAATTGGATTGGAATAGTTGATATGATTTTGTAGTAAGGCAAGTTGTATTTGCAGAGTTTTTTATTTGTGTATGAATGACAGGCATAGTCTTATGCTCCTTATCTTTCCCTCTCCGTAATTATAATGCATCTATATATTTTTTTTGGTAAGCTCTTAAACATGTTTTAAAATTTTCATTGAAACAACACCTTTCTTTTTAGGTGAGCTTGTCAGTGCCAGTGAAGTTGTTGACTCAGAAAACGGAATAAGCAGAGAAGACAGCTTCTCCCTTGCCAGTGCTGAGAATGGGGGCAGTGCTGACTCACTCCCAGACTCTACAGATGAAATGTAATGATAGAATGTGCAGTGCTAGAAGATATAATTGTTATAAATTTGATGCTGTCTCTTCATTGCTGTCATCGGTAATTCTATAAAGCTGTCTATGAAACTGACTGCACAGAGTTGCAGTCCTTTAGAGATGTGCAATTGATTGTATATTTTTTTCTTGTATAATAATGGATTTATATATATGTATATTTTTCATTTAAGTGGAGTTATACAGAAAGGAAGACAATTGTTACATAAGGAAAATGGCACATACTGTAAATAGTAATTCTGGTTGACATGTGACTTTAAATAGTGATAGTAAGTATACGTTTTTCGGCCTGCAGAATATTTCTTTATTGCAGAAATGGGTACCTCACACCTGGGACACCTTCACAGCCCTACTTTAATTCCCCTGTGTCCTACCATGTCCCTGTCTTCAGTTCCCATCCTTCACTCCCTTCTCTGATTCATAAGCTAAATGACAAAGATTATGTTAGAAAACCCACAAACTTTAGTATAATTATAATGTTCATGATATTATACTGATAAGGTATACTGGTTTTACTGTACAGAAAAACAGATGTAAGAACAACAAGCAACACATCATCCAAGTAGCTCCTCCTTTGCACAATCTTCCTGAAGTTGGAAAAACTAATGGTGTAAAAATTCTGAGATATGTGTTTTAACCCTATAGATCCAGTTGTGTCACGGAAATCACGGCGTCAAAAACCCGGGCAATGGGTTATGTAAGTGGCCAACATCCCGGGTGTGCTGTGCATAGGTCAGGCTCGCACAAACACCCTTTAGCGGTGGTGACAAGGCTGTGCCTCCCCTTTGCAAATTTATAGTGTGTAAACTTTTTTTTAGCTTTATTGCCATTTTCCAATGTCTATATTTGTCTTTTGATTTGCTTTATCCAGATGGTAGTAGCTTATTTTTTTTGCACAGATGCCATATCATCTCTCTATATTGTAAATAATAATAATATTGGGTTATTTGTATCATATATCTCTTTTTTTGTAATTTTCAATTTTATGTATTACAACCTGTGCCACTGGTCACAGTTGCCAGGAATACGGTGTGCAGCATGGAAATGGTGTCCTCCCTGGAGCCGGCACTCTTCCAGTCACTGCTTATGCACGTACGTTCCACATTTGTTTATTGATGGGAATGATGCTGAAGCCCCCTTCTAAGCGCCAAATGAGCCAAATCACACTCCAAGAGGTTTGTGCATTCGTTGCGTCTCTTCTTTTATCCTGGCCTTCACTCATAATGGCAAGTTCACAGTACCCAGGCCACGGCCAATTTGCCCAATTGATGGCATGTTCACGTCACCTAACCCTCAACTGCAACGTCATCTGGATCCAATGGGTTAAGGTGATTTTGAGTACTAGCAGATTTTTCACTTGAGATAATGCTCATGTTAAGTCCCATAATGTGGAGCTACAGTTTCAAAGATTTGGATGTCAGTGAAGGTTCTTGTATTTAGATCCTTAAGCTCTAAGGTCAATAAGGTCTACTCTTGTATTATTTGATGGAGTAGCTGTTTGATTGGCCAGTCTTCTCTCCAGGGGCTACAGAATTGCTCTAAGAAAAGTCTTTTGTGGCATATTGGGTGTTACATATTGTGCTTCATCATGACATATAGACAATCTCCTTTCATGCATTCCATTATATGAGTAACATCAAAGGAAGTTTCACATAAGCACTGACTTAGTATACTTTCTATGA